AATTTGGGCTTGAGTTTGGGATTTGGGCGCGGACAAACCCAAACTATAATAGTTTGGGATTTGGGCGGCAAGTATATACAGTACACGTATTCATCACATGACTTTAATTTATATAAAACAAGTTCTGTTACCGCTATGGAATTAAATTTAGTTGATCTTTTTACTTTGTATTATTTGTGCAAATCAACATGCTAGCTTTACCAGACGAATGTCTTCTTAATATATTTAATAATCTCCGAATTAGTCATAAAAGCTTATTTGTATGTCTTCTTGTAAACCGTCAATGGTGTAGAATTATTGTACCAATATTATGGAGTGAACCGAAAACCCATTTTAAAAATAAAAAACTTATAAGAACACTTCTTTTGTTATTAAATTCCGAGGAACAAGCATTATTAATCCCTTTTAGTATTAGTCTTCCAAATTATCCAAAACCGTTATTTGAATATACCTATTATATTAAATATGTAAGTAGTTGTTTCTATCGTGGAATCCAATTGTGGCTTTATGGAAGGTATAGTGAAAAATATGATATTGGGAATTATATTGAAGATGCTGTTAAATGTTCTTTAATTACAATGATTCTACGAACAAGTAAGAAGCTTAAACATTTAAGTATTAATGGAACTATTTATAATCAAATAATATATGAAAACTTTTATAAAAATAATACTATTACATCTATGGATTATTATATTAAAGATGAATTTAAATTTAAAGTTATAGAAGCAATAAAGATCTTTTGTAAGAACACTATAACTTATATAAATCTTCATGATATTAATTTTAAAGATAAGAACGTATTGGCAGAACTTCTTTACAAGAATCCGGCCTTGACCACTTTGATTTTTAAAAATAATATTATTGATTTTAAAGGAGTGGAAATATTTGCAGAAGTCCTCTGTAAAAATTCTACTTTAACTTCTTTGGATCTTAGTAGTAACAACCTTGGTGATGAGGAAATGAAAGTGTTAGCATGGGCTCTTTGCAAAAATACTACACTGACTTCTTTGATTCTTAAAGATAATAAAGTTGGTCCTGAGGGATGTAAAACATTAGTAAAGGCACTTTGCAAGAATACTACACTGACTTCTTTAGACCTTAACCGCAATAAATTAGGTTTTGAGGGTGGTATAGTTTTAGCAGAGATCCTTTGTAAAAATATTACTTTGAATTCTTTGAATCTTTCTTCTAATAAATTTGGTTCTATTGGTGGAAAAAGATTAGTAGAAGCTCTTTGCAAAAACACTACACTGAGTTCATTGGACATTAGCTGTAATGAACTAAATTCTAATGAAGGGAAAGTTTTAGCAAAGATTCTTTGCAAAAATACTACTTTGACTTCTTTGAATTTATCTTCTAATAAATTTGGCTTTAGTGTAGTGAAAGTGTTAGCAAAGGCACTATGCGAAAACACTACTTTAACTTCTTTGGATCTTTCTTATAATAAATTTGGTTCTAATGGTGGAAAGGCATTAATAGAGGCTCTTTGCAAAAACACTAATTTGAATTCATTGGATATTAGTTACAATAATCTTGGTCCTAAAGAAAAGAAAGCGTTAGCAGAGGCCCTTTGCAGGAACACTACTTTGATTACTTTGAATCTTCACGGAAATCAATTTGGTTCTAATGGAATGAAAGCGTTTGCAGAGGCACTTTGTAAAAATACAACTTTGACTTCTTTAAACATTAGCAGGAATAAACTTGGAACTGATGGAGGAAAAACTTTAGCAAAAGCATTATGCAAAAATACTACTTTAGTTTCTTTAAACATTAGCCAGAATGGTATTGATTCTGAGGGTGGAAAAGCCTTAGCGGAAGCACTTTGCAAAAACTCTACTTTGACTTTCTTGGATCTTAGCAATAATTATCTTGGTGATAAAGGAGCTAAAGCATTGGCATGGGCACTATGTAAGAATACTGCCCTAAATTATTTAAATCTTTCTCAGAATCAAATTTCTAATGGAAATAAAGTATTAACAAAAGCTCTCTGCAAGAATACTACTTTGGCTTTTTTATGTATTAATTAGAATGTGAGGGAGTAAAAGTGTTAACAGAGGTTCTTTGCAAGAATACTACACTGAATTCTTTTCAATTGACTTGATACTGAGGAAGAAAAGCGTTGACAAAAGTTGTTTGCATTAACATTACTGACTTTTCTGGATTACTTGATTCTGAGGAAGAAAAGCGTTGACAAAAGTTGTTTGCAAAAACATTACTGACTTTTCTGGACCAACTTGGACCTAAAAAAAAGGGTATTAGAAAAGCATCTACAAGGCAATATTCTGAAATTCAAGCTGACAATTATTATTTTATAAGCAAATCACATAAACGACGACATTACATATTTATTTATAAGTCATATATCAATATGGGTTCTTTCACAGCAAAACTATGCTTAAATTATATATATTTTGTATGCCTTTAACATGGTTTCGCAGTGGGATTGATAATATTGATTTTAAATAAATTATTATCCGAAATTTTTACAAGAATCCTAGTTTTTTCTGCTGTTTTATAATGTTGGTTTGGCTTTTGATTTATCCATAATAAATATCGTGTACGCTTGAACAATAATTGGGTAAAAAAAAAACTTGTGACTGTTTATCAAAATTTAGGAAGAAATTTAAGACACTGGTTGTTTATATTCTTTAAAATACTAAATTATTTTATCATGTTGTATTGCTTCTAATCTTTAAAATTTTCATTTCCAAAAGCTTATTTACTAGTAGTAATATTTTGCAAGATAATTCATATACATGCATTGTAGGCGGATCAGAAAGAATATTTGACTAACAGGTAAATTGAACATTCAAAATATAATAATTTTACTAAATATAGAATTAATAAAGCAATTCGAACTATGAAATCCAATGGAGGGAAGGATACAATAGTGTAGAAAAATGTAATATATGAAACGTATAGACTACTAATGTAATTTGAATTTATGAGTAAAATTCGTAGCAATTCATTATTGAGCTTACAATCTCTGATCAAAAAATCACTTTTATTCTCAATAATCATGCTATATCACAAATAATATTGGTTTGAAGTCCTTTCAGAAAATTCATTATTTAGAATAGGATGAATTTTTTTTGATATTATGATAAAGAGATTAGTTCTGCGATTTGGCAGATACAAATATGTAGCCAAAAATTTAAAAATTAATGTTGGCTGGGATTGCAGACCCTAATCCTGCCAAAATTTAACAATGGTGCTAAAGTCTATACGCGACACGTTTCAATTTTTTAAATTGCATAACTTTTTATTATATAAGAGGTTTTCAGACTATTAACCGGTATTCTAATGTTATAATCTCTATTATAACAAGTAGCTTTTTTTTTTTATGATATTATATTGAAATAATAATGTATGTAATTAAAGCAAATTTTATATTCAATTTTTATTATTGAAAATTTGATTTTAAGATGAGTTTTTTTTTTTCTCTTTTTACTGAAAATAAAACATTTGGATTATTTATTTTTTTAAAATAACTTGCTGAACAGCGTCAATAACTTATCCCTATATGCTAGGCTTCTAGATTTGAAAATGAAAACTAATATTATATAGATGCGTATCGACATCTCAAAAAAAAAAAAGAAGCTACCCGATATGTCGGTTAACCAGAAGCATTTTCATATTTTAGGGACACTTGAAATTTTTGCTCGTTTTAGAGAGCTCTTCGGCTTCACCCTAAAAAACTTCAGAAACCATGTCGCTGTCTTCCAGAGAGTTAGATGATTCATAAGATAAAACCCATGGGATTTTAGAAAACGTAAAAATTTTTCAAGTGACCCAGAATTTATGAAAACAGCTGTAAGTTTATAGGTTCAAAATTAAAAATACCGTTATAGCCAGATGTCGGTATATTCTGATGTCGATATAATTAGAGTGACATATAGCAAATTTTCAACTCCACTAAAAAATATATATGTGTTAATAATCGTTTATTTTTAAGCAGTATATTTTTTTCATAAGTTATATATGAACAGACATAAGCTCATTTTAAAATTTGAGTAATCTTTAGAAAGTAATTTTTGTTCTTCATTTAGCCCGTTGTAAATGCGAATTTCCCCCAATTGTTGTAATCTGATGTATCATCTCATTTTTATGAAAGGTAACGTAGTACGTATATCGAATAGGAGTTATTTAAATTATTTTAAAAAAAATCAGAACCAAATCTTTATGAATATAATGCGAATTATAACAAAACCACTGATAACTGTCTTTAGGAATGTTGCTGTCCGTGTCCCAAATCGGTTTTTTGAACCAGTTCTGGTCCCAAAATTAAGTCTAAATAGTCAGTCCACATTATGCATTCGTAATAATCGACCAATCCCCAGACTCGAGTGATAACTTTGAGCTTTTTTTTAATATTAGTTGTTTATGACGATGCGATTATATAACAATCAATATGTTCCATATCGTCTAATTCATTTCCCCCGTTTGGCGATGAAGTTTCTACATGTACAAGTTCTAGTTAAACAAAACAAAAGTTTAGAAATAATCCAAATTGTAGCGATTTACGAATTACTGTTGTATATAATTTTACCATACTATTTCTCCGAAACTTCAATTGATGTATCATTTTTTTTCGGTGATGTTACTGATACCTCAAGATTAGGTTTCGCGCTGGTCACCATATTTTCTTCAAAAAAGAAATCTTCGAAGATTGGACGTGGATACGAAATCAATGTATTGAGTTCCTGATCGATGCCACTGTATTAAAGATTCAAATTAATTTTTATATTATTCATCATTACTGCATTGGTTATGCTTACCTGCATATGTAATCAAGGTCAATATCATTAAAGTCATATCCAAATGGATCTTCTATATCTAAACCAGTTTTATAAGCACTAAAAAGGATAAAGACCATCAGAAAGACCAAGGGAATTGTAGCCCATCCTGAATTTGCGATCAATTGGAAAGGCAAAAGCAAACAGTAAATCCATACTGTTTGGGAAATGAGAATTGAATATGATATAGGTTTAGGGGTGTTTATAAATTTATCAAGATTTGACAAACATTCATTAATTTTGATTAAATTTTCGTTCAGAATACTAATTGTAATTTCATTAGCTTTTCCGTCTTTTGTTATTTTTTGAAGATAAGCGAATAAATATGATAAAATGTTCAGATTACATTTATAGGAAGAATCAAATGTACAATTTTTTTGCTTAAATAGCCGGTCGGATAATCCAGCCCCACTATTACTAACATTTCTAAAATTATTATCATAAGAAATAAAGGATCTGAAATTTGAAATTAAAGGCTTAACATCATTGCAATTCACCGGGTCTTCTTCCCCACGAAGTTGATGCTTTGTGGATTTAGCAAAAGCCAATAGAAGTTTTATAGCAGCCTTTTTTCCAAGTATATCCGCCGTTCTTTCTTCAGTTTCTTCACTTTCATCCACATATATCCAAATAATCCTAGACATACAACGGATAGAAGCTGTCATCACTGTCCAATGGTTTACAGCTTCCCAATATCTGTATTATAAATCATCATTTTTGTTCCATGTTACGAAATATTGCATGATTATTTATCTTTCGAGTTTCAGAATATTTATGATAAAGACTTTACCTTTCGGATGCAACAGTAATTCTATATGTAAGTAGCAAACCTATCACAATACCGATCACATTGATGAATGTTCCATCGATACTAAGCTTGACTTCAGTTAATTCATAAAGAATAGTTATAATTGTGGCTATCACTGTAACTAACAAAGTACTAGGAAGAATCCATGGAATTACTGAACCCCTCAGGCATGGAAAATGATATAAGTTGTAAATTTTCATTTTAACAATCGAAAATGAAAAATTGATAATACGTATTAAAAATATTGAAAATAATAAATATTCATTAGGACTCTGCAAGTGCCGGTATGTGCCTATTAAAACATAGTGCCAGGCAACAGCCCTAGCACAAAAAAATGCAGCTTACATCATAATTAAAACTTATCAATTGCTCTGTTAACTTATTTTATATACTTTAAAGTATCTTTTTAGAAATGTAACGTTTCACGAACGCCAATATTGAAATTGGTCTACTAAGCTATCTTAGATCAAAATTTCTAAAGTTTTTAAAAAACGTTAGAAGCCATAGCCAAATTTTTTTAGATTTTAACCGAACACATGTCTTGGCGCCCACCTAACTAATTTCGATAAGAATGTTTTTATTTTAATTGTACAGAACTGCATGATTTAAAAAAAAAATTCTTATCGAAATTGATCAAGTGGGCACCAAGATATCTTCGATCAAAGTTTCTAAAGTTTTTAAAAATGTTAAGCAAAGCAAAATTTTTAAAACTTTGATCAAATATCTTGATACCCGTCTGACCATTTCAATAAAAGTAATTTTATTTTAATTGTACAGAACTGCAGAATTAAAAAAATCTTTTTATCGAAATTGGTCAAGTAGGTACCAAGATATCTTTGACCAAAAAGTTTCTGAAAAGTTTAAAATTATTAGAAGCCACTGCAAAATTTTTTTAAAGCTTTTGATCGAAGATATCTTGGCACCACCTGACCAATTTTGATAATTTTTTTAAATCGAAATTGGTAAGTGAATTCAAGATGCCTTCGATCAAAGTTTTTGAAATTTCTAAAAAATAATTATTAAAGGCGGTGACAAAAATTTTGATCGAAGATATCACGGCACTTTATTATTGCATTTACTTAATTTTCAATTCTAATTTCAGATTTATAACATCTAAAAGTTAGCGTACGATCATTACGATCATTAATTAATGTCATTATCATGCATAGGGACATTACTAGCTATACTTTTAGGCATATATGTTCTTCCACCCTCTATGATTATTAATTGGATATTTGTTGGTTTAATATTGCCATAACATATCAATATGTATATTTTGGACTGACCAAAGTTAAATTTGCAGTCGCATCCCACCAATACTGTACTGAAATATACGTGTGACGTCAAATGTCTTAAATATCACTTCTATTTATTATAAAAACGACAATTACCAATATTACTTCATTTAGTAAAGAAACTTTTGTATCTATCTAATTTGTTTTTCTCAAGTAGCATTATGTATTTGTTTTTTTACTAAAGCTATTACAGTAAAAGTAGTGACTAATCTAGTATAAAGATATAATGGGGTTTTTTCAGAATACTTACAGCTGTCATCAGAAGATATAATAATGAGTTATTAAAGAAGATTTAATAAATTTTATAGCACTGAGGTTATGCATGATTCTATAGTTAACATGGGTTTATGTCCTAAAAGTCGTTTACAACTAATAGAGGGAATAAGGGCAATAAGTGAAATACGGGTTTTAAGTAATAAAGGAGTATATGAGGGATAATAGGGATAATATGGGCTGCCGTCAATAGAGATCAGGCAGATTGACATTTTTTAAAAAATCAATACTTACTTTTCACAGCTCATATCTTGATAAATTTAGAAGCTAGTTTGATTATTTAATATTAAAAAGAAAGCTTAAGATCTAAGTTTCTTTTGACTATTGAATAATTAAATTAGCTTCAAATGTGTCGAGATATAAGCTGTGAAAGGTAAGTATTAAATTTTTTTTAAAATGTTAATCTTCTTGATTTCTATGATGGCAGTCTATATGTTTAATAGGTTTAATATATTTAACACCTTAAAGAACACATATGTAATAAAACAATATATAATAAAAGCTTTGAGTCCTATAAGAACAATTTAGTTTGTGTTTATCATAAAATTTGCTTCTAATAATTCCCTGTTTCATTTTATTATACAACATATGATTATAAATATACTACTTGTCAAATCTAACTGCCTCTTATCAACTAAGTTATTTTTAGCTTATATGACATATTCCATTAAGAAGTGACTGATTTACTGTTTTGCTTATGTCATTTTGGTGATGACTATGAGATATGAAATGTTAGTTATTCTTTTTCCTAATTCAAATTTTTGTATTAGTACTTGAAAACTCTCTTCTCTTATAACCATACTGTTAAAAAGATATTTTCCTACTAACATCAGAATAAACAAGAATCAGTTGAAAGAATTCTTAAAAGATTTAACTGTTTTTTACCCAAGTCATAATCATCATTATAATCTTTAAAAGGACCTCAAAGACAAGAGGAAATTAATTTATATAAAGATTGTCTTTTTCTACAGAAATAATAAAGAAAATCTTATCAAGTAGTTGAAATCATTCAAACAAATTACTATAGTTAACAATAGATTCAAATAAAAAATATTAAAGATCACATCTAGGTATCTTTAAAGTTTGGCAGCTAATTGGTATAAAAGAAAGAAGGAATAGCTAAAGAGTAGAAAGATAATGATAATTAAAAAAAAACTTTTATTATATTTTTTGAAATTCTTTACTACATCAGAGAAATACTATTATTAACAGATGGTATTAAATAATTTTTAATAATAAAAGATAAAAAGGTTAATACATATGCAGTGAAATATAAATGTTTTGTTATCAGAGTAGACTTTGAAAAAGAGTTACTCAACTCCTATATAATTAGAATGTTTTTAAGTTAACTATATCATAAGATTCTAACTTTTTTATTATTTCTAAACTTAATACTTTAGAAGATGCTATTGTCAGTATATAAAAGTTTGAAGTCAATAAAAACTATAGTAAGCAGACCCAAAAGAAAGATTACTAAAAAAAACTAAAAAAGAAATTCGGCAATCTATTCTAAAAAATTAAGCAGATAGTCTTTAATTATACTGTCCTTAGCAAGAAACATTCTAGGAAGTCTTGTAATAAAAATAAATAAATAAGTAATTAGAAGAAGCATTATGAATTTCTAAAAAGGATAATATGTTACAACTGTAGTAAAGTTAATCATGTTACCTATTGTTGTCTGTCAGAAAAAACCTCTAAGACAAGTAGTAAATACAAATATAACAACTATAATTAAAAAATACATCTTATAGTAGTGACAAAGGCAAAAAAGAAGATAAAGTTTATACTTCAAATGAAAATCAATACTAGTTATACAAAGGAAATAGTAAGAAGATAGTTTAATTTAGCTAGAATCCATGTAAAAGAATTGTCTTAAAAATCACATTATTGTAAATACACAACTGTTAGTTAATTTAAAGAAAACTCTAAATATGATGATAGAAAATAAATTTGTATTTGTAAGAAAACTAAAAAGAAAATATGACCTATTAATAATTGATAAACTTGGTTTCTATAATGTTAAAAAGATATTATAAATGCCCTTACTAATGTTATAATAGGCTAAATACTTCAGTATTCTAACCAAAGAAAAAACCTTGTTTTAGTTTTGTGAAAACTTTTATTATCTGTTCAAGATGTCAAATATTTGAAATTTGAGAACAATAAGAAAACAATAGTAGCACATTGCTATATTAGAATTTGGGAAAATTAGTAGTAATGATGTTATTTTCTGAAGCAGTTATCAACATTATAACCAGGAAGCTAGTTCATAAGTTAGAACTTTATATACAGTTAAAGTTGTTTACTGTTGTTGTTACAGCTACAGGTGCCAAAACAAAAGCATTAAATAAAATTAATAATGTAAAAATAGCAATCTGAGATATAATGATGCTAGCACCTTGTAAGATATAAAATTGTTAAATAAAATACTATTTTTAAAGCTAATTGGTTTCAAAAAGCCAAAACCATTCTTTACTTTGATGAATAATGATTAATTCTAAAGTATCAAGACCAAACTATCAAAGTAACCATCTTTTATACTGATACAAAAGCTTGAGAAAACTCAGAAAAGACAACTAAAAGAAAAATAATAGTAATATATTTAATAAATTTACTTATAAAAATGAAGAATTAGATAAGATTAATAGATATTACATTATAGAATTTTCTAATTACAAAAGTAATTTATTATTATAATAACCTATAAAAGGATAAAGTTAACTTAGCAATATATTTAATATTAGTTGATGAAATATTTATTTAAAAAGAAAAAAAGAAATTTAAACTTACTATGATAGAACAGTTAGAGAAATTCACTTAAACTAACATCTTAAGTAAAGCAAAAAAGTAAAAACCTGTATTTTCTTTATAAAAGAAAGTTTTTTACTTACAATAAGTTTTGATAACCTAGAAACAACCAGTCTCATTACTTATCATATAGATACTGATAATGCTAAGCCTATTAAACAATATCTTTACAGAATATCTTTCAATAACCAGAAATTTTTAGAAAAAAATTGAAGTTATTAGAAAGATAAAAAACAATAGAAAAGTTTAAAAGCCTATAGATTTCTCTAATGCTAATTATTTCAAAAAGGTTGGCAAGTTGCATATGTGTATATATTATTAATAATTAAATTTGGTAATAAAAAAGAATATGTATCTACTACTATAAATTGATAGTTTATTCTAAATATTTAGAGAAGTGAATTGGTTTACAAGTTTGAGTTTTAGAAATAGCTATTGGCAAGTATATATAAATCTAAGTAATTAGAAAAAGATAATGTTTGTAACTAAGAAGAGTTTGTATAAATTCAAAGCAATGCTAATCAGGTTGTATAATGCATCTGTAACATTTTAGCATTTAATAAATAATGTTCTAGTAGAATATATAGGAAAGATTATAACTATATATATTAATATTATTAATATATACTTCCGAATGTTTTAAAAACATCTGAACTGTTTAAAAAGAGTATTTATTAAATTAAATCTAGCCAAGTTAAAAATTAATTTAGAAAAGTATAGTTTCTTTAAAACTAATCTACAGTTTTTAGAACATGTTTTTGGGCATAGTATCTAACTTAATAAAACCAAGATTAACAAAATAAAATACTATCCAGTATCCAAAA